TAAGAAGATTTAAAAAAATCACAACCCTGACCCACGAGGAGAGACTGAAACCATCAGATTTGTTTAGTCTAGGGAAGAGAAGGGGAGGGTGTTTACACAAACCATGATAAGAAGAAAAGTGGCTGTAAGAGGGAAAATGATGATGTACGATTTTTACCACATCCCTTGGGGCTAGGATAAGAAGTACATTGTTGTAAATTAAGCTGAAATGTTTAGATTTTATATTAGAAAAGGATGAGTCATGGGCGATGTATACCAGAAGCAGTGGGGTTTGGCAGCACAGCACTGCTGAAGCCAGTAAGTCCTACTGAGAGCCACTACCAAAGATAATGTTGCTTTTGCAACAGAGTTAATCTCTCTCACTGGTGCACGCTGCATACGGTGACTGTATCTCCTCAGCTCTTCCCTCACTGCATGCCTTTAAACAGTGAGAGCAGGATGGGAATTGCTCACTCCTGATTACTTCCTTGTGAAAAGGGAGCAGCACTGAATTCAATGCTCTAGGCTTTCCACCCTCTTGCACAACAGGACCTGTGCTTTGCACATAGTAAATTTGTAGCATCTGTTATACACAGTGAGATTCTGTGTGTTGGGGCTGCTTTCTGTGTGTGGTGTCACACGACCCAAACCAGATACTACAAAGCTGCTCCTCTTGGAGACGCTTAAGCCTGACTGAGGCACAGCTTTTTAGGGGTGCGCCTGATCCTTACAACTCACGCAAACGATTGTGGCATAATTGTCACAATTTGGCATAGTACATATAAGAGAAGACAAATACATTTCCTTGGCTCACTGAACTAGGCCTCCTTTGTACTAATTAGAATTCTCGGAATAAAAATACAGCACAGAGATAGAAAAATTAATTCATCTTTTGCAGAGAAAAGCAGCCAAATATTGGCATAAGTCACAGGATAACAGCTTGATCCTGCAATCCCTTGCTTGCATGAATAGTCCCATTGACTTTTAGAGTTTACAGGAATGAGGCTTTACAGTGTAGCACAAGGATGCTGGCAATTTGCCCATGAAGAGAGTTAAGTAAGGTCTAATTCTCCATTAAGGCTGAAGAAGGCTTTGGCTGAAGGGAATGTTCCACAGTAGACAGAGCCAAGCAGAAGCACATACTGTGCAATATATTAACCTAACAAAAATTTGCTGTGCTACTGATGTGAAGGACTTAGGTGAAGGCACATTACATTTAGGAAGTAAATTTTTTTTTTAATTGAATCTGGACTCTTCAAACCAGCTCTTCAATAGTCATAACTGCAAGTGTCATTAACAGGAGTGCTTCTAAGACAACTAATACTCCAGGTACTTCACACAGACACACTCATTTCTGGTTCGTAGATGAATGATGTTACAAATTCAAGGCATATCATTTCCATGTTTTTCCTCCACAAATGAGATCAGGCATGCTTTTCCATTGGACTAAGTACTCTGTTAATATTTGAAGCTTGCTGGAAAAGCACATTTATATGTAAGTACATTAATAAGCATACTGCTTTGCAATGCTTGCAATGCACAGTGCTAAGACAGACAGACCAAAAACCTAACTGAAATAATGAAAAGCCTGGTACCTTCTTTGCTTTTAAGTTGTCTCATTCTGGCATTCATGGGCAGGAAAGAAGTGTTGCTGAGCAGTTCAGAAGGAGAAGTGCAATGTTGAGATTTCTTGATTGAAAGATTAATAGGTTCTTCCAGCACTTTTTGCATAGAAAGAGTTAATTCATTAACTACCTCTTGCCCAGCAGTAGCCAAGCTGTTTTCTAGAGGATGGTCTACAGTATTGAAGTCTTCGTTTTCCAGCTTCAGGGGGGAAAAAAAAATAAATCAAATTTTATTATTAGTTTTCTTTCTTTCCATCTTAGAAAAATAATTTGTAATCAGTCTTCAAATACCAGATAAGGAAAACTTTACTTACTGAAATAGCTGCCTTTGACTGACTGACTAACAATAACACGTGCTACCAATGAAAGTGGGTTCCCTTTCAGTAGAGGAGTTTGAGTGATTCCTACCTTGCACTTAGTGCTGCCCTGGAGTGCATCAGCTGGTGCGAGGCCAGCGGCAGCCCCAGGGCTCAGGTCACTTGGAGCTCTGCCCAACACCAAGCTGTAGCTGGGCACTGACTCTGGTGGAGTATCACAGTCACAAGGGGTGTGCTGGGATGGACCAAGTGTTACAGCAGCTGCACCTTGCATCTGTGGATTGGCCGAGCTAGATAGCCTTGTTGAAGGTAATTCCATTTCTAAACCGTCTGAAAAGCCCACAATGCTTAAGGGTGCCAAACACTGGGAAAAGAAAAAAGAAAAAAAACCCAATACATTAATAAGCTTTTCAGCAGCAAAATGCTATGGTTCTTTCTATAATGGATGAGATGATACTCCACGGCTATATGTAATCAACCAGTTGTGTCACAAGGGCTTGAAAGTATCTATTGTAATCTTATATCATTTTCCAAAGCTTTACAGTTTCCACTATTAAAACTGAAAACTGGGAGAGGAGACACCTAGGTTACTCTTCTGTGATTTACAAAAAACATCTTCTTTCAATCAGTCCAAGGGATACAGATTTTTAACTCCTTACAACGAATGGGAAATGTAAGTATGAGAATATTGTACTAAATCAATCCTTGATATAAACCCACTAGCTTCTGTTAAGTTATTCCAGAAGAAATAAGATTCAGATCAGAAATTTTATCATTTTGTTCAAAACCCATCAGGTCACTTTATTCAGAAAGAAGATTCAGAAGAAATAAGATTTATATTTGTCACAAGTGGATGAAACTATTTTTACTGTTAATGAAGCTGAAAACTTTATGCTAGTTAGTGAGACTGTCCCATTAAAACCTAAAGCGCTCGCCCTTTAAATATCATAGTGTAAATCCAGAAACAACCTACGTGTACTAATGAGGAAAGGATGTACATGTCTAGTTTCCAAAGAAAGGGAATATTTAGCAGCCTCTGAAATAGTTTTAGCAACATGCATTTTCTACTGTCTCATGATTTGTCACTGTCAAAACCACAGAAATACTTTTATGCAAAACAAAGCAAATCCACCCATCTAGGCGACTCCCTAGATGGGCCTTACATCCAGGAATGTGTGACTGCACTGAAATCAGGACTCTTCTAGTGTCCATATGAAGAAAATATAAGCAGTCTTAAGAAATATGCAATCTGTGTCGCTTGAATACATAGTTTTCCATTTTTTTCATCATAGTTCATTGGTGTTTCACCCTTGATAATTGACTGGATAAATCATTTTCATTTGACTACAGTACAGTAAGTAGCACTCATTGTAATATAAATCAAGACAGAAGAAATGTGTTGTTTGCATCTGAATTAGAGTTTAATTTCACGGTTGTACTTATTTTTCTGTTAGGCACCTGTATCTTAGCAGTGAATCTGAGACAGGACCCATTTCCTAGATTTAATTATTATTTTTCTCAACTGTTACTCCATTTTGGATTTTGATACCTTCCTCCATCTTAATCCAACAGCGGTAGACAGTAACGTAGATTGAGCTGTCAGTTGTGCCTGTGGAAATCCTACATAATGCCAAAGAAATCAGTCTTGAATTCCTCTGCTTGCAATGCATATCACCTATATGCTAAGAGAATACTCTGCCCACAGACATTAATTTCCACCTAAGGATGCAGTTTAATTTCCTTTTCCTCAATTTGCAATAGACGCTACAGTAGGAGCATTATCTGAACAGTGACCACTTATTCAGTGAGACAAAATAGCCTGCATTTGAGACAGAAAGAGGTCAGCTCTTCTGCAGTGCTAGGGAAGGTTTGTGCCATTCTACCACACCATGTTCTAGTAAGTCTGTTTTAAAAAGTCCTTTCGCATAGAAGGCATCCCAGAGAGTACCGAGACTCTGCAGCCAGGGTATTGGCCATTTTCCTCCTCTTGAGGCAAATGAATGTCCCTGAATCTAAGCTGTTTGAGCTACAACAACTTCTTGGAACCAGCTGGAACTAGTCAAACATGTTCTTCCTACCTTACATTTGAGCTAAAAACTAGAACGTAGCAAATGAGGAAACATACTGGTGGAGGCACAACTTTCCATGTACTCTGTCCAATAGAGCATTCCTAAGAATGCTCAGGTTTCAAATGAAAGGAATATACGTAGGTCAGAAAGGAATCCAGCTTTCATGGTCACGCATCCTAAAGAAGTCCACAAAGATCAAAAATGTTCATTTGCTGTCATAATTTGCTTGTGACAGGTTCCTGCACATGCAGTGACAAATGCGGCCTACCAAGTACACATTTTCCTTTTCATTCAATCACTCTCTTTATCACAAGCCTGTTTCAGATGACAAAATAGACATGTGAATTGTTCTCATATCACTTACAGAAAATAAAACATATAAGCAGAATCCATGCTTGGACTGAACAGATGGACTGTAATCAGCCTTGCCTTTTCCCCTTATTTCAAAGTCCATTGTGAGCCTTAATTAAGTCCCTGTGAGGTAGTTAAATATTTATTTAGCCAGATTCTCAAAAGCACGAAGTATCCACACGTTCCTGTCTGAGTCAGTAGGAACCACCTAATGCCATGCTCCATTGGAAATGGGCATGCTGAAGCACACACGTGGTGGGAACACCACCCAAAGCTGCATAGCAAGTTAACTGGAGAGCCTGTAGCTATTCACTTTGTCTAATCACTACACACATCTTCTTTTACTTATGTTACGAGAGTGTGCCATCATCTATTATCTATTGAGACCTGACCCTGTGAAGACCCATCTGTGTCTAACTGTATACACTGCAGGGAAAATGTTAGCCCTGCTCCAGGATTACTCCTGGCTTCAGTGAGACAAGTTTACTTATTGGGAGTAGTCGCTGGGGCAACTCTTACTGCAGAAAAAAAAGAAATAGATACACACATAAGATTTTGTTATAACTAAAATTTTTAGAAAGGTGAAATTCAATAGCATTATATGGCTATATCTTTTTTACTCTTCTAGCTAGCATCAGTTTCTTCAGAGATCTTTTTAGATTATACAAGCCAGTATAAAACCTTACTCTTGTTAAAATGAAAAAAGAATAATGAGGCCATCAAACTGCCATCTGTCTTTCCCTTGGGGCAAAAGTTAATTTTGTGGTTATTTTAATGATGAAGCAACATTATGATCTTTCAGTGCAAAATATTAAAACTCACAGTTAAGAACAGACACATTCCATTCTGATCCATGGAGCTGCTGTCAAGTGTGAAGTGAACAATGCACTGGGAACAAGGCTCATTAATAGCCTATTAATTCACTCCCTAAAATAATCATTTCTTTTGCCATTAGCAAAAATTTCTCTTTTCCCTTGACAGTTCAGCTAGTTTTTGCAAATGGGATGCCTTTAAAGAATTGATCTCTGTTTTATAAAAGCTCTATTGCTTTTACATTGCACCCTTTGAACAACAACAAGCATTAATTATGCTCTTGGGTAGAGGGTGGCTTCAGCTGTAGGTTAATTTTAAAACTTTTGACATTTTAATGTACAGCCTGGCACATCGAACTACATCTGTGTCATTATAAATGGAATTCTCATTGTCTCATAATTAATTTTGGTCTGATGATCCTTATAACATAATGGCAGCAGTATCACCACCTCAAAATGCCTTCTACCACAAATTTCATAGCTATGGTAGTGAAAGGTAAGAAGAAAGAACATGCAAAGTGCCTTCAGAGAACAAAAAATAAACATATTGTTCAGTTCAAATATTTCTTTGATCACTGTTGCATTTAAAAAGGTCCAGTGTAAACATGCATCACTAATACAGAAGAATTCTGAGAAGCAAATACTTACCTTGAAACACTGGGATTAGGATTTGTTAGGATTGTTTTGGCAAAGTCTCAAGGCTGTGAACATTAGGTGTCACAGATAAAGAAAGCTAAAACTAGGAACCGCCAATTCTCTTTGCTATAAGAGAAATAACACGCTGCAAATGGTTGCAGAGTAATGAACGGCTGCTATTAAGTGGAGCAATCCCCCTGGCAGCTCATTATGCTAGGAGGTTAAACAAATGTACTACTCCAATCCAGTTGTTTAACTCACCGCACACAGCAGCACTGATAACACAGTCTACATATGCTTCCTATTCGTATTTCCCAATTTCAGAATAGAATCCAAAGGATTTCCTTTCCGTTTTTATGAGAAAAAGGATCCAAATATTCCTTAACATTTTGTCTGAATAAACTGTATCTGGCTTAAAGCAGAAGGAGGAAGAGATTGTGTGGAGCAAGCAGCATCATGTTTTATTTATCCTTTTTTCCAGGTCAAAGGAAAAGATTTTATTAAATTAACATTCTGGGAAATGTACCTAATTGCATTAAGCATGAATGCATTTGTGCTGTATGCAGCTCAATTCCTTAAAGTCAAAAAATACTCTGATACTTTAGGAATTTGCAGGACTCTAAATTCCAGGCTGTTATCATTATTTCCTTCACTTCTAATCCCCCTAAAATTAATAGTAATTAGAAAAAAAAACCCACAGCAACAACAAACCCACCTTGGTGCCAAGCTCAGATTCGAAGTCCTAGGGTCGGGTATTAAATTATTATTACTTTCAGTCACTAAATAATCACAACAATCTCAGTGCAATACTAACAAAAATAAAACCCATACTGTGCCCCCCACTCCTCTCCCACAAATTTCACATGCTTTGAAAGACAAAAAAAAAATACCATTAGTTAAGCACTTGCCACCAGTATGGAAGAGTTGTCATTACTAAAGCTCAGGACAAATGTTTTGGTGCAAAATACCCAAGAATGCCACCTACAGCAGACTGAGATCAGCTTTCTCTCTAATAATCCTGTAGTAACAGCAGCATTGGCATGTCAGAGCCTAGAAGTTCACAGGCAACAAGTCCCAGGAGAGGCTGAGAGGTTCCACCACACTCACTATGTTAGTCTTGCATGAAATGCCACCATTGCATATAATTGTAATAAAACAGAAGCCTATCTCAGAGTGCTCTCCAGAGTCCTCCTTGGATGGCACGGAATATTTTCTAGGATTTCACCATTTCAGGTACTTTAGGATGCTTGAGACAAACAGAGCTCTCAAACTAAGAAGCTGGGACTTAATGTGAATCAAAAAGAACAATATAAAAACCAGAGTTATAGCACTATACAAAATTTCCATGTGCTTGCACCTTGATTACTATTTCTGGTCACCCTGTCTCAAAACCAATTTATCAATCCCACAAAATATAGGGAAAATGGCCAAAGAGATAACAGACTAAAACAGAGAATGGCTTCCATGAAAAAAAGGCACTAGTAAGACTTTGCAGCTTCAAAAATAAATGTTTGAGAGGAAATTCAATATAGACCTATAAAATAGAGATATTATGAAGGTGGTGAATACAGAGTGATTATTCACTGGTTTTCCTAACACAAGATCTAGAAGGCATCCTCCTGAATTATCAGGCAACAGACTTAAAAGTAAGCGAACAGAGGAACTTCCCATGCAATGCAAAACTCAGTTGCTGCAGAATGTTGAGGAGACCAATAGTATTAAAATGGACTCAAAAAAATGGATTAGAAAAATTCACAGAGGAGAGGTCCACGAAGAACTGCAAAACAGAATTGTTTGGGCACAACCTTCAATTCAGAAAGTCCCTAAAGTGCTGGTTTTCAGAAGCTGGGATAGTGTGTCATCAAAGGATCGGTATTTATCTGTTTCTTCTACCTTTTCCTAAGCATCTGCTATTGGCGACAGCTATAAATGAACAGATACAGCTGCTCAGTAATAATTTACTAATACAGTGCATGACACATTCAGAGATTTATTTTAAGCAGAAGGTGAAATAATAGGTGAAGGGGAGAAACCCTCAAAGGTTGCTAAGGAATATAACCAAACCTGAGTTTGACAAATACTGTCCAATCTACTCACAACCAATCAGTGTCTCCCAGAAGGCACAACCATGAGTGCCCAAGCCAGTTAGGCTTTTAGGATGAGTGTGGACTGTACAGAGTGTTCCACTGCCCAGGATCCAACCCAGCAGCTGGACAAGACAAGGAATCCTTCCTCCCAGAAGTAAAGGCCTTGCTCCTAACTAGAGAAAGGAGGGCACTTAGGGAGTCTGAGAAGGAGAGCTGTCCAACTGGCCCTGCAACAATGCCAATGTCTGTTGCAGCAGTACCTGAGGTTCAAACTAAAAATTTGTGCTATAGATGTACAGTAATTATGACATTTCTTCAAATGCTAGGTACAGCCTTTAGACCTCTTGCTCATCACAGCCACAAATGACAATTAGGTACATGTAAGCAAAACAGGGATAGTATGTCCTTTATTACTGCTGAAAACACAATTAGGCCAAAAATATCTTCTTATTCTCATCTCTGCTTCAGAACAGATGACCTCTCCAGTCCTGTGTGCAAATTAATAGCTCAATATCATACTATGTAAAAGCAACAGGAGGACCATATCATTGCAGAAGGTTGGTAACACTTTCTAAAAAAATGTTAATCTAATTGAGTACTCATTCCTTCACACTGCAACTTAGCAATTCAATAGCTTGTATAAAATCTGTTTGCTAGAGCTTGGCATGATTCCCCAGAACAAAAGCGCAGATACCACGAAAGTTATTCTGAGATTTGTCCTCTGTCTTGCTGGCATTCTTACTGGAGAGGTTGGGTATGTGACAAGCATGGAGACAGAACAACTCCACAATCCAAAACAGAGGTCCCAGCTATATGAGTGAAGTATACTGACAGGGAAGCATGAAGAGAAAATTATATCTATTTTGCACACAGACAGAAAACTTCCATTTCTAGTGTTGCATTCTTAAATCAAGCCCGAAGTCATGCTAAGTGCAAGTACTTGACTTATATCAAACAATCAATGGTCTAAGTATAGAAACATTTATTCTGCACAAAAAAATTAAAAAAAAATCAATTCACGGAGAAAGAATAGTTAGAGGAATACAAAGGAAGACAGAAAGGCTGACAAAATATCACAATTAATGTTCCAAAAACAGTGAAACAAATGAAAACAAGCCCCCACATAACTGAAGTTACATGTTTAAAGACTATACTATACGCACACATACAGAGCAGCTGGGCACAGACAGGAATTACTCTGAACTTTACGACAGCAATAGCCTTGATGCCAATGTTTCTGATCGATGCCAGCTAGAAAACCCTACTTTATATGACTGGGAAGCCAAAATTCTGTCTGCTCAAGTGAAGCTAGATTTTTGTCCTGATAGTGAAATATAACACACAAGGACATTTTACAAGTGCGTGAAGTGGTTCATCCTTGCTTCTCTACTTCTGCTTATCAATAACCAGCTTTAAATGTGAGGGACAGAAAACAGTGCTCATCAGAATAACTTGAACAGGCATTCTTTGAACTCAAAGGCACTCACATGGCGTACAAGTGCCTCACACCGTGGTATAACGGCTGCAGTAGCACTTGTCTGGGATGATCTGAATAACGTACTTGTGGTTTCCCCGTTTATGAGTAATGTTGTGATCCCAAACTATTAATAGCATCTGGTCTATATTGCTTCACACATGAATATGATCCCGTATGCAGACAACTCATCTAGTTATTAGTCAATAGTATCAAATACATACCATAAGCATGTTTTAAAATTAATGCACAGATGTTTAATTACATGAACAATCAAGCCTTACCCCCCTCCAGAATAAAGGAAACCACTGGGCTAATGGAAGCTTTGTTTTTTGACAGACTTTGGTAAACATACCACTAAACAGTTAATTCTGAGTTTTGCTACATCCTGGTTCACACTGTTTTCTCTTTAATGAAAGAGTCTCAGCAGCCAGAGAATTATCTAGTCCACTAAGAATGCTGCGCACAACAAAAGCTGTCAGAGTTCAGCAGAACTGCAACACAAGGCCAAGAAGTCCAATACCAATTATTCTCCAAGAGGCAGAATACAGTTCTTCTCCAAGTAGCAAAAGGTTTTTCTAGCCATTTTCTCTACCATATTTTCCAAGTGCAGTATTTTAGACTGCTCCACATTCACTTTTTCCATGTCCTCCAAGAACTTGAAAGAGATGAGGTGTTCTGAATACAGGCCATATGAAAGTAAATGGGCAAACACCTATACAGAAATTTTTGTCTGGAGATGGGCATGCAAATATTTAATCACGCGAAACAGATGAGAATGAATAGACACATACCTTTGTTCTTAAATAGGAACCTCACATTTAAATCTAGATTTAATCTAATTGTCAGCAAAAGCAGTCAGACACCTTTAAACACCATTCATGAAGAATATATTTCAAGGGTTTCCTTACTGTGCTGTTTCCCTTCATCATTTCTAATTAGCCACTGCCAGAGCTGTCAGTACATTATGGCTTCATCCCAAACAGCTCATTACAAGAGATAAATACAAGCAAAGATGGTGTACTGTAGCTGTTGAATGTCCTCATTTCTTGCAGAGGTACCAGGAACCAGTAAAAAACCAAACACTTGTGCTTTCTGCACAAGAGCATACACTTCTCAGCACCTTCAGAAAAATTTCCATTTTTTTTTTCTAGGAGTATCCTCCTCTTGCTGCCTTCTCAACTTGTACAGCAGCGAATCAGCACTTCCTCCTTTTTTTTCTCCTCCTTTTCCCATCAGACCACACTAGTCTCTCTCTTGCACATCCTCTTCCATTTTCTTCCCTCTTTCTGACTTTTCTTGTTTAAGCTGTTGGGAGTAACCTTCCTTTACAGGTCCAGAAGACAAAGGGTGGTTTCTTCAACATGCATGTAGAAAAAGTCTCTGAAAGCTAGTTGGTTAGCAATACCATTTGTTTTCACAAATAACTTTGAGGGTGTGTCTGCATTACAAGAAAAGTGTGTGTTCAGATTCATGGTCTTGCTCAGGCCTTAAACACACATCTTCGATTTTTACAGTCATATCCTAAAGTAAAGTAAAGTAGTCCTAGCCTAGAAAATCTGCATAGCTTTCCTCAGTCCTGTGCTCTTATCATCAGAGGTTAAAGGAGATCTGCTTCCACATGTGAAAGTTCAGAGCCAAAGAGCATCATCACAGAATGTTGTGAAACCATCAGCCTGATCCAGAAATTCTATCACATCTACAGGATTAAGTTAGCAATGGCAGATTTCTTTGTGGCTTCCAAATCTGATTTGCATGCTGCTTCCAGACCTTTAGTAATCATCACCTTTCTGTGTGTCTACAATTCCCCAAAGGATCTCCAACAACTCTCTGAATGGGTATTGCATCATAAATATATTGGCTCAACAAAGCTACGTACTAAAGAAGGATAAAATAACTTCCTTTATGGGGCTAGTAAGGAAAGACAAGTTCTTCCACAATATTCCACATAGAAATTCCAAGAAAAAAATATGGTACACAACATGAGCCATGCACAGAAGTACCAAACAGATTTGAGCAGCCAGAATATTAAGTGCTGTTTGGAGTGTTTTAAACAAACTTTATGGAGACGTAAAAGGCAGCTTCTCTGCCTCAAATGCACAGGTGATATCCAGAGCCAGCAAGGATCTGCTGATAAAGATGAGCCCTCCTGGTTTTGTTTATGCTGCTTCAATAGTTAGGGCCTCCAGTAGGTGGAAGGATCAAAGCATGGCTCTGTTATGTGCTGAAATATTCTAGAGATACAGAAATCTATGATTTTTCTCCTTATACACAAAGAAGGAGAAGGAGTATAACAGATTATATCCCTTTCAGACACCACATCTTCAGTAATAATTAGTATTGTTATTTCTGGGACAACTCTTTTGAAAGATGTTTTTCAGGCCAGATTTCATCAGAATCAACGACACTTCCCCCTCCCCCCAAATTAACTGCTGCTAGTATGGTAGTTAGCAAGTTCTGATAGTTAAATCCCTAAGGATAGGGACTGGACAGAATTTACTCAGTAAAGAAATATTTAGTCTTCTATTTATTTACCAGTTCATACTTAACAATTGTGCCAGCCAGATCTAAATACTACCAGCTTATGGAACAGTTGCTGATCCTGGCGACAGCACAGTATGTAGGCATCTTACTGAGAGATGCACACTAAGTTAGGCTATGACTGTCTTTCAAGATTTACAAGCCATTTTGTCACCTTTTACTGTATTTTAATTTTTTCAACCTGATTGCAAATTCCAATGCCATATTATATTCAATATTATCAAATCATGTTTCCCCTTTAAAATATTATTTTTTTTAAAAAAAAAAGTCTTTATACCTTTCTCACTGGATGGAAAGCTGATTGTTGCAATGTGTTCTCAGGGGAGTGACTGCTGACACTGGCTTCTTCATCTAGTGACTGTGACAGGGAGGGACTATCACTTTTGTCAAGAGGAATTACAGGCTTCTGGGCATCAGGTTCAGTGGAACTCTCACAGACCTACAAATCACAATTAAGAATTCATGTTTTCAAAATCTCAGAAAAAAAAAAGGTAACAAATTCACATCAAGTCACAGCATACACAATATGACAAGACTGAACAGACTCTAAAACAATAAAGATATTTAAAGTAACCCTAAGTAAAGATAAATAAATAAAGATTTCTCTCAAACATCAATGAATTTAAAAAAAAAAAAAAAAGAAAGAAACAAACAAACAATAAAGCTGCTGAAAAGTACAGCTATTCCACAAGCCTGCAGTCTGCCCCTACAGGTAAACCAGTTGGAAAGCTATTCAAGGCAGGAACTCCACAGAAGGGAGAAGTCCCGTTGAAACAACAGGAAGTCCCAGCCACATTTCTGTTGCAATTCCCATTGTTTTGAATGAATTTCAAAGCCACCTTGTTGCGCACCTTGCCTGCCTTGTAGTTTGGATGCTCACCACCAAGCACTCCCTTTTTCAAAAGTAGGATTCTTATCAATAGAGGAAAAGGGGAAAAATGAGCCTCACTGACAAAACTGTAACAGAATAGCATGTATGAATACTGATGAAAATCTTAAAGGACAGTATAATGCAGTAGCAAGAGCAATTACTAGTAGAATGGGAAATAATTCTCAAACCAAAAAAATGTGTTATTTCACTCCCTTTTAACTAATCATTCAGAATCAAAAGGGAATCATTTTCAAGGACTTGGGGCTTAAAGTTTCCGGTAAAAAGGAGTTGAAATGGAGAGTAAGACTACTGCAGTCCTCCAGTTACCTATTCACAAAGGAGGAATGATGATGCTTTTGTTCTCCCACCTGCTGCTCACCTTGTCTATTTAGAGATTCAGGTCTTTGGGATCCAGCACTTTAGAGAAAATGTTGGCCCAATCTGCATGAGGCATGAAGCCTCTGCTGAATACATATATTGGCAACAACAGAAAGTTCAACCAAATACATGAAATCTCAAAGGCGTCTCCCATTTTTGACTAAACACAACAGGAAAGAACTTTCAGAGAACTTACTTCTGCTTCATCATGGATTTGTTGCTGAACTGGGGCTGGCTGCCTCACTATGTAGTTGATTTGACCAACTATGGTCTGTTGAACATGCTGAGGTGGCTTGGCTTGGTTCAGCTGCAAGCTGGACTGTCCTTGGGCCTGCAGAAGAAGCTCCAGATCCTTTTTCATCTCCTCCAGTTCAAACTGGTGCTGCATTATGTCCAGGTTCTGCTGGACGACTTGTTTGTGGGCGTTTTCATTCTGATCTGCTGGTGGTGATGCTGGTGGCAGCTGCTGCTGCTGTGATGGCTGCTGCAAGTGGTTAGATTTTATTTTCTGGAGATGACCAAGTTGCACTTGCACAGTTGATGTCTGCAAAGAAGCCTGTGTGCGGAATGGCTGTGGGTGGCTCATGTGAACTTGCTGAGCTTCATGTGATACAACAGCATAACCCAGGGGTGCAGTCTGCTGCAGCTGCTGGGATGGTAAGTGCTTTCCTGTCCTCCCAGACACATTCTCTGGCTCTGACCGTGACTGCTGTTCCAGCCCAGACTGTGTTATCTTCATAGGCTGGGGGGCACCGCTTTGCTCTTTGTCATGTTGCTGCATGCTGTACTGCAGAGGGAAGTGCTGCTGATGCAGTTCAGGAGGTTGTCGAAAAATGTGATGGCAGTTTACATCTTGGTAAGAAGGCTGAGCTTTGTTTGGGTGAGATATGCTGAGGCAGTGAGAGCAACACACAGGCGTAGGACACTGAACCGCATGTGGAAACTGATGTGTCTGGCTATTCACAGGCTCTAGCTGTGATGGTGGTGAATGGTGCCCATGATACAAGGAGGTCTGCAATCCTTGCACATTTCCACAGAGTAGCACATCTGAGTGAGAAATGTGTCCACCTTCCATAGTGAAACCTCCTGGAAAAAAACAGCAAATTTACTCCCTCACATGATCTTGAGAAATTTACACAATAAAAACTGTGAATGATGGCCATTTCCTTGTCTTCATTTCAAATATAAAAGATATTCAAATATCCTATGCAAACAGTCCTTCAACATACCTTCAAGACAAAATTTTCAACATTTTTCAGTGATTTAAGATCACACCGAACTCCCACTGATGTCAGTGGAACTTATGGTTGAATTACCATTATTTTATTTTAACTGATGGATGTGGCTTATACTTTCATTTTTTACTAAAGTATGAGCATATCTTCTCATCCATAAGCACAGGTACAAATGACTGCTTCCAGGATGAAAGTGGCGAAAATAAAAGAGATTGATGTTATGCAGGTGAGAATCGTAAAAGCTAGAAATAGAAGTGACCTGTGAACTGATCTTGTCCATGCTTTTAGTGAAGATTATTCCCTGTAATACTTTTGATAATGTTTTACCCCATCTAGTTTTAAATATCTTAAAATAGGAAGAGAACCAATCTTTTAGACCATTGAGTGGCCCACTGAACCGCATTTACTGTAAAAACCCACTGCAGCTGTGAAATTTATAGCTGGTGGGAAACAAAGTCACAGTATGCACATTCATTATCTAAATAACACTGTAATTATTGTACATTCAAAGTCTTAAAGCCATCTTTGTGCTCATTAATTGTGTCTCAAGCACTGCTCAGGTCCCTTGGCCGCTAAGATATTGAAGGATCTGAGGAGCATGGGGATGACTGAGCCCAGCTTCCCCTGGGTAAGGCAGAGGAAATAGCACAAGACCCACTGCAGATACTCCATTTCAGCCAGGGTACTACTTACAGGACTGTCAGAGCCACAGTGTTGTACAGAGCTATTGCTTCCTGGGACAGAACTGAATTTCAAATACATTGGGCAAAGTCGAGGCTGTTTGATAGCCAGTGATGTGACATTTTAAGTCATTTTGATTAGAAGTTATTTGTTTAGTCCTGCACAGTGTTTCCAGTAAACTAGTAGTTGTATTCTTACATTGTGATTTTATAAGACCATCAAAGATGCTATTTATAGAGTGTATTTCTAGGTAATGTTTATAAGGTAATATTTATATATAGCAATGTCGTTTAATAGGTGAATTGATATAACTGGAGGGAAAAACAAGAAAGTTCAGCCACACTAGGTTTTCTTCAGAACATGACAAGAGGAACAAAACTGGAAGCCAAAACAAAAAAGGACATCACTTTAGGGAAAGTATTGTATTGTCTATATCTGTCCTGTCTAGCTTTGGGCACTTGCCTAATAAACCGCAATATATTTTTCTTACCCAAATTGGACAGTTGTTTAGTCCAGTAGGAGGGATCCCAAGTAAATCTGATCTTCAGAGGAGGGCCTATGTCTGTGTTACAGTTTGTCTCTAACAAGCGCTGGATCTGAAATACAATCTGATGACAAATCAAAGGATGGTGATTTTATTCACAATTTAAGATCTTGAAAAATGTTTTATTTGAGAAACATTAAAACAGTTCTCACATTTACTGCACAATTTCAATTTACTGAGAAAATAAGTATTGCTCTTACCAGTTCTTTACTGAAGAGAAATGGGATGCTGTTTTTACCGCACACGGCCCAGCTGATGAAGTTCTGCACGTGTTCTACCTGTCTGCTTAAAACCACAACACCTTGCAGTTGTTGCTCCAATTTCTGCTTCCTTTCACTGGTGATTTTCTGTTAATAATGTGAATCAGTAGAAGATAGCTGTCATTATTCAGCTAATGCATACAATCATTGGCACTACATTATGCATTATTTGCAGGGACACTGTTATTTAGAATCTCTTTAAACCGCCAGTCCTAAAAAGAAAGCAAATCCTATTCCACAAGTATGTCTGAATTCAGCAAGAACAATGACTTCTCCAGGAGAAAACAACCTACATCATTCTGGCCTTGGTTTGACAGAATAACATAACCCAAGAAAGCTGTAGAATTTGGATCAAATTTGCACCTGGACTGCTTTCTTATCTCTTACAATATACAACAGAAGAGACCCAAGAAAGAATACAAAAAGAGGGGAAGCATGTGGCATTTCCTCAGAACGGTCTTCCAGTCTCCAGCAATTCATGATTTAGGGACCACAAAGACAGAGGCTACTTTATCACCCTCACTGTATTTTTCTATGAATTTGTCTAATTACTTTTGAACCTACACACCATATCTTGCAGCAAGGAGTTCCACACTTAATTACCATTTATGTGAAGAACTATCGCCCTTGTTTGATTTGAAACGGGCACCTCCCTTTTTCATTTGATGCCCACTACACGCACTTTCAACAGAGCACTGTGCATGTACTTGGAGCATATGCACAGTTCAGTTGTGATTATAGATAACTCCGACAAACACTGAAATGTTGTCAAAACACATGAACACTGAATTTACTTAATGTTTAATAATACTGAAATGAGAACATCCACTATCTTATTTGTAAAGCTACTTAGCTGAACAGTCATATTTGAGTCAAATATGTAAGTTCAAAGGTAGCCAGCAAGTGCTGAGTGCTTTGTCTTTCCAATACTTGCTAAAATTACCCAAGAATAACTGAGAACTGGAAATTCTAATCAGATCTGATAGCAATTTTTGTACTCAGAACATTTCAAAATAAAATCATATGTACTTCAACTGGACATCCAAAAACTAAAGAACCAAAACTGCAGGCTCTGTTACAGAAAGTAGACCAGAGGATCATTTTCAAAACAGGATATTAAATGTGCTGCTAGTGATCTTCTACAAATTAAACATTAAAACCAGAAGATGGTTTGTTTTGTGAGTTCTCAAAAGATGCACACATATTCTCTGTAACTGTATTATAAAATGTGGTTAACTCGTGATAAGCAATCATGTTGCCACTTCCTCATGAATCTTTGTCAACCACTGATTCCACATAAAATTCTGCAGGAGAAAAAAGAAATATTTGAAAACATAAGCAAAGGGACAATAACTGTCACAGTTTATATTCTTTCCATTGGCACTGGAATTAAATTTAGTTTAGTTTTATTTCCTAAGGCATCAAAGAAACTAGCCTTACTTACTTCAAGTTGTTCAAGAAGGATGTTTGTTCGTTTATTGATTTCATTCATCAAAACCATCTTGGCCATTTTTATTTGATTTTCTACCTTTTTGTATAAATGTTTTACTTCAAGCAACCTATAGGTAAGAGATACACATCCTTGCATGAGCCAACTGGTATGTCATTTATTCATTGCTTAGTAGTTATTTGTTACAAGAACTGATTTAAATATTGACAGAGAACTCCAATGAAAGTTGTACCATTCCCCATAAGTTCTCCCACACTTCTTTTCAAACATATAATCATAGAATGGTTTGGGTTGGAAAGGACCTTTAAAGGTTATGTAGTCCACCCCCCCTTCCTTGAGCAGGGACATCTTCAGCTAGAGCAGGGTGCTCAGAGCCTTGTCCAGCCTGACCTTGACTGTTTCCAGTGATGGGGCCTCTACAGCCTCCCTGGACAACCTGGCCCAGTCTTTCACCACCCTCATCGGAAAACATTTCTTCCTTAACTCTAGCCTGAATCGACCCTCCTTCAGTTTAGAACTATTAGCCCTTGTCCTGTCGCTACAGGCCCAACCAAAAAGTCTGTCCCCATCTTTCTTGGAAGCCCCCTTGAAGTACTGAAAGGCTGCAAGAATGTCTCCCCGGAGCCTTCTCTTCTCCAGGCTGAACAAGCCCAACTCTCTCAGCCTGTCCTCATAGGAGAGGTGTTCCAGCCCTCGGATCAGTTTTGTGGCTCTCCTCCGGACCCACTCCAACAGGTCCCCATGTCTTTTCTGTGCTGACCTGGATGCAGTACTCCATGCAGGGTCTCACCAGAGCAGAGTAGGGGGGCAGAATCACCTCCCTCAACCTGCTGGCCACACTTCTTTTGATGCAGCCCAGGATTAGGTTGGCTTTCTGGGCTGCGAGCACACATTGCCAGTAAATGTCCAGCTTTCATCCACCAGTACCCAGAAGTCCTTCTCAGCAGGGCTGCTCTCAATCCCTTTATCCCCCAAGCCTGTCTTGATGCTGCCCCAACCCAGGTCCTGGACCTTGCGCTTGGCCTTGTCGAACATCATGAGGTTCACATGGGCCCACTTCTCAAGCTTGTCCAGGTCCCTCTGGATGGCATCCTGTCTCTCAGGCATGTCAACAGTACCACTCAGCTTGTAGTCACCTACAAATTTGCTGAGGGCGTACTCAATCCTACTGTGTATGTCCTTGATGAAGATGTTAAACAGTACTGGTCCCAGTATGGACCCCTGCGGGACACCACGCATCACTGATCTCCATCCAGACATTGAGCTGTTGACCACTGCCCACTGGGTGTGACATGCCAATGCCGACTGACTCTTTCAAACATCATGCCAAGAACAGTCTTAAGGTCTTTGTCAACAAAGACACACAGAAGCAATACCCAAAAAACTTTCACTTTATATTAGAGTATAAATAGTATAGATTTGTACTCTTTCAAGGTGTTTGAAATTATTTTATTAATGCAGAAGAGAGATCCAGCAGCTAACAAATACATAATCAGTAGCTGAAATCCAGTTCATATAATGAAGTATTTTCATTTTTATACTAGTCTTCACTGGAATTGCAGCTTGTTTTGAGGTTTCTTGAAGAAATAAGGTATTTTAAAAATAGTCTTTATTTCTAATCTTTTCAAATTCTAGTTCAGAAACAGATTATACAAAGAAACCTTAACTCTAAAGTCAGCTGTCACATGTGTTATAAGGACTATGGAATCATGTATTACAATGCCATGACCTGTCAGTAACACTTAAACATGAATTTGATATTTTTAATCTTCCTACTATTTCCTAGCCTCCAAGAAAAAAAATAGTATCTGCATTTACTTCTGCTAACCTACACTTAGTGAAAATAATATTTTTACTGATCACCCACTTTCCTCAAAAACAAAAACAAAAAACATAGCAATTACCTGTCTTCAATCTGTTTAGCTGAAATCTGAATTCCATTTTTTTTCTCTTCCACTTTAGTTATGACATTTTCCAGGATAACTCTCTGATTTTGCAAAGCTTCATCAAGATGTCTGAACCTGTGAAAGAAGGGAAAATTCTCACACCATGCTTTCTTCTGTTGATATTAACTTATCAGCCGATAAGTTTAGGGGACCAGCTACCTTTAATACCTATCCAGACATGGTCCCCTGCTTCTTCCCTACTACAAATGTTCTCTGTGACAGCTGAACTTCATTGCCCCTCATACAGGCAGGCTCACCTCACAAAATGTGCCATTGTGTATAGACTGTTCCTCACATGGCTCACACACTTCCACAGGCAAGCAGCATTGGTAACTCTGGTCTTGTACAGTCATGATGTCTTTGGTAAAGACAAACAGAAGATTCTGAACCATGCTAAGTATTGAGTCCAACTCATGTCTTTGAGCAGAATGAGAAGGAACTATGAGCATGCATACATAGTATCTGGGCAGACAATACAATTGGAAAGGGACACACTGCTGAGAGCGGTGAGTGATTCTGTGAGGACAGTAAGCCATGTGTTACGCTACTTCAGCATAAGACAACTAAACTGAGTTTGCTGTGACTTTAAGTTTGGACTAGCCTGCAACTTCAGCTGACAGGAAATGCAGATGAACAGTCTTAAATCTAAAGCAGCTAAAGTGTTAGACAGGACTATGATTAAGCAATCAACGTGTGGTACCTGTGTTCCTTGTGCTCTGTCAGAAGGCAGCTGCGGCATGTAAGGGTATCGCAGGTCTCACAGAACAGCGTGAGTGGCTCTTGAGTGTGCACTGGACAAAATAAGGAAAACGTGCTTGCTTCATCTTCAGTTGCTGAGGAATATAAAGCAAAGGTGTCATTGACTAGGATTACTACTATAGTTCAGAAAAAGTTGCCAAACTCTCACAATTTTACTGGAAGTCCTGATGTTATTTTTAAAAGACCCAGACCTTGGAACTATCTGATTATATGAAGCAAGGTTTGTTTATATTTTTTTCCTGGCCTTATACATCCTACAAACTAGCACATCAAAGGGGTTCAGAAACAAGTCATCAAACCAAATTCATGTTGTCGTGTAAACCCTCATGAGTTATAAATCTCTCTCATGATTTTGAGCACCTGCCTCACAACTCTGAATGCCCTGGTCTGGCAAACCAGTCAACAAAACTGCATTGTAAAATGTAGAAAAGCAAATAATATATTAAATAAACCTGAAGTCACAGCAGTAGCAAGGAAATCCTTTGTTCTTAAAAAGTCACATAGGGAACTGTTTTTCAAACTTGTGTTTGTTGTAAATGCAGTGCATAAACTTCAGCAGCTAGGCGATATTGATATGAGGCACTAAAACCTGTTCTTAAAAGGATTTTCTAAAGAGTAATGTGATGAAGAGTAAGAAAGGACAGCAGACATGTAAAATGGAAGCATTGCTCCCGTGCAATCTATTCTTGCCTTCTTTCCTGGATGTGGTAGAATTGTTTTAGAAAGCAGGAACACTGTCAATAAAAGAATGCAAAAACCCCTGCTAAACCATGGCAAAACAAAACCCCTTCTACTGAAGTTAGACATTCACAAGTACATTTACATGAATAGTTAAGGCAGGGAGGGGGAAGCTCTTTTCTTGGATCCCAAAAAACTCAGACTCCAGATCCTTATTTTATTAACTAGTGTAAGGACCACCCGTCATTATTGCTGGTGAAAAACATTATTTTCTCGAATTGGTCAAAAATACAAGCAATGCTAAAGTACAGTGACAGATTCATGCAGGTCAGTGTTCAAATCCCCTGTCCACAGAACCATCAACATTATTAGCATGTAGGGACATACATGGGACAACAAGAAAAGCACATGATTGCATCCTCAAAGTATTCCTACAAGGACACTATCCCATTATTCTTTTCCAAGAAACACGAGAAATTAAACAAAATAATCACCGTTACATAACACTTACTGATACAAACTTTAAATGAAATAAAAACATTACTTATTTATATATAATTTTTTTGCTCATATAAAATGAGAAAAATATTTCAGTTTTCCCACACCAAACCTATTTTACTCATCTAAACATTTAAAAAAAAACAACTTGTGGCAGGGACCATGCTCTCATCCTGTAGCAAAACGGAGCCCTTTGTAGAATCAAGCCTCTGAAGCAATACTATTACAATAACACAGATAACTCAGTGTACAGCAAGCTATACTAACTCAGTCACTTTATTTTCAAATTGGAAAATGCACAATATAACTGCAGAAAGGCTTAGAAAATCTTATAGCCAAGAAAAAGAATGAAAATATGGAGAAAATCCATGCCATGATCTAAGAAAATATACCAAATTTCCCACTTTTTAGATTGCTATCTACTCTATAAATATTTCTGAGATGATTTACTTCCTCCAGTTCAATTGGCTTTCCCCTCCGCCTTCTTAATATAATGCCCAAGAAGACAATTTGTGATAGATTAGGCCAAGATTTTTATGTAACAGCATTACATAGTTTACACTGTTATGAATTATTTACTACAGTATCATGCTTTGTTCTTCAGGAAATTTCATTGTTCTATATTATTATTGAATCAAATGCTAATAGATAGCATTATTAAAAGAGGAAATTGGATCAGAGGGGTTTTTAGCCCGCTCCAATATTTTTTCTATCAAGGTACAAACTGAACTCACCTCAACAGCAAATTTTTTCCGATTGTACTGCAAATATGTACTTTTGCATCAAAACCTGCAGCTGACAATGCAAATAGCATGTAACCAAGCGGGTTGTATAACTAATATATAACCAAGGTAGATGTCGAAGACCATCTTTTCCTCTCCTATGGGGTCAGATATTATATCTTAAAAGAAAAATAAAAAGCCCATAAAAACTATCTCAATTTTCATGAGTTGGAAAAGCCCCTCTAAGTGTTCAGCACCTGCAGGGCATGCAAGCTGGTTTTTCTAAAAACTCAGGATCAAATTATCCATATTAAACTCCAACTTATAATGAGATGCGGTCTTTACGGTCTGAGTATAATGAAGCCTAATCACAATCTTATATAACGATTTCTCCATTTTTCTCTGTCTGAAGGGTTCTTCAACATTTGGGTGATTGTGATCATCCCAGAGAAATCAGTGGGTGTTTTAGCACTGTGTCAGATTTAAGAGACAAGCAGATTTCAAATGCCAGCTAAGGATAAAAATCAATGTTATCTGATTACAACACAGACCCACAGCCTCTGCCACTAGTAATTCCCTGATTCAATTGACATACCAGTGAGAACTGCCACTGAGCCATGGTATTCTCGACCTACTTTATACTCAGCTCAGAGCAACAGTCTTCAGTTTTAAAATAAGTTGAATTCTTACAAATCAAAGGGCGCAAGCCTTTATTTTCTAGGAGCACGCATCTTAACCACAACTATCCATGTTAGCCTCTTGAAAAGAACCTCACTTGAAGAACAGGGAAAGTTCAGTTGCCCTAAATTCTGAATTAACATCATCTGAGTCACCATTTTCTACAGCCTATATTTTCTCTATCTCAGATGGATCTCTTGAATAATTAACAGAAAGACTTAAATCTCTGTTTCTCTGTCCAGTTGATGTCAACTTTGGAAAAGCAATCTCATCTTGACTAATAGAGTCCTCCCTCAACTTGCATAATTCATAGTGACTCAAACTTTGATTTTATAGGTTCATACTCAACCTTGAGAGACTGAAAGAAAATTATAGTACAGCAAAGAGAAAATTACTCAGTTTGTGCACTAGCCTATAAATTGTCACTATGTCACTACTAGATCATTTACTTCCAACATAGTTTTGGCAAAAGGATTGTTTCTACTCAATTGCAAAGCGCAGATTTCCAATTAATGAGGAAAGAATCTGTACTGATACTGAATGTCCTTTTAAGAAAGTTAGGACTAAGGGAGGAAGAAGTTCTGGGTTTATGACTTTAAGCAGTTCAAGAACTCTACAGACCTTTGAACTTAACAAAGTTCACTTATTCCTAGTGTTAATGCAGAGCCCTCCAGTGAAAGGTTTGTTCTTCAGAGATTATTCCTCCAAGAATGCTGCTTAATCTGTCATAAAGCTCTAGCCCATGTTCCCAACACCTAGTTTTCCAGTGCTCAGCAAATTCATTCCAGAAGCAGATTTCAATGGTTTCGCATCTTGTGGTCACAGATCCAGAAAGTTGTCAGGGGGTTTTAGGACTGCTTTTTTTTTTTTTTTTTAAACTGTCAGGAAAAAACAATGTGTGTGAAAAACTGCAAGTAGTGCAGTTTAACCCATCTGTGAACCACATCTCAGCATCTCTTCATATTCCTAACCAGCAGTAATAGTCTGGCACTCACAAGAAAACTGGAATTTTTGAAAGTACCTCTAGAAGTGGTTCAGCTAATGAGAATATACTGGAGCAACCATACAACACTTAAATATTAGTGATGTCCAGTGTGTGCTATTTATCTGGTTTTATGCCCAAAAAATAAGGTCTGTTTTTCAATGTAGGAGTTCAGCAACAGTTTTTAGCTGAACAACTGTGACACAGACCACTCTCATAACTTCCCATTCCGGTCCTCAATATGCATATTCAGAACAATGAAATCTAAGTAGCATACCCTCTCCCCACCCCCACAAGCTATCGCATGTTTACAGAAGGCTATGGAGGTGAATAAAATAATGCTGTTTCCAAACAAGAATGAAGCCATGTCCAATACCAAGAAGCCTTCACAGGGAACTCTCTATTAGCAGCATACATTTTGTGGGCCTTTATTTCAGACTCCAAAAGGATGAGTCAGTAGGAAAAAGAAGTCAGGCTACTTAAAAATTGTTTTCTTCTTATACAATAAGGCATTTTTCTATCTCAGCCTAGTCCTTCTCCTCCCCATGCCATTAATTTCTAAATAAAAATTTGAATGAAGGGTAAAATTCTCAAAAATCACATTAATTTGGCACACTGGCCTGCAGTGTGACCTCAGGAGTCACCAGGCTAAGGGTAGCCTGGCAGCCAGCTCAGCCATTCAGCTGCAGGAGCTGGGGCTCACCCAGCAGGCAGTCAGTGGCCCAGGAGGGAAGCAAGAGGATGTGCAGGGTAAGTGGATGGGGAACTGTGATGGAGTGCTGCAAACGTTGCAGGTTCTGTGTGGCAGGGGGTGATCAGTTGTGTTACATGGAGCACAGGTATCATGAAGGAAGAAGCAGAAAGAAAGGTTTCCCAGGGAAGCCAAGTTCCTTTAATTCTGCCACTCAAGGAAGAAATTGTTTATCAAATGAATAGGAATAGACAGGATTCAATGCATTTGGTTGCATTTTTTTTTTCTACTTTACTTCATTTCAGACCCAAGGAATCTTACAGTTTTCAGATGACAAAAGAAAGTCTGGCCCCTGTTAGAACAGTTTAAAGGTGCAAGATCAATGGGATAGAGAGTCTCTTAATAGTTACAAGGGCCTACAAAGATGGTGGCTGTTGTTCAGAAGCACCATACACAGACTGAAGGTGGCTACTGAATCTGAAAGCAGAGGATGCTTTATTTTCAGAAAAGAAAAAAATATCATCCTGAGTTCTAGCATATCCTAGTATTTGCTTTCTTTGAAATATCCTGAAGGAATATCTATGTCCTAAATAAACAATAACCATAAAAAAGCACAGATTAAATCCCAAATCATTTTTTAGATTAACTAGCCTATATATACACTACCAACCTTCTTGTTCATTTTTTTTCAGCACACAGAATTTAGTACTAAAAAGATAAGAAAGCATTTTAGTTTATGTGTTTGCATCTTTTTATTTATACAGCACACACAAAACCACAGCTAAACCACAGGTATATTTTCTTACCATTATTTGTCAACAATATAAGCCGGTAATCTTACTCAAAGTGAAATGAAATTCTAAACAGTTGGCACATCAAAACCACAGTCCTTATCTTGCCATCAACTCAAGAAGCAAAACATATTGTCCATTCAATCAGGGCATTTGAAGGGGGGCTGGGGGGAATTGAGAAAACATTTAAATGTCATCTGTGCTTTTTTATTATTACTGTTCTAACAGACTTTTTTTTTGTTTACACTCTATTTGGCAATGGCATATCACGTCTCGAGTGCCTCAAACTCTCTTTGATGTGAACACCCAGGACTTAAAAGAGCTCTATGGCAAGCACAAAGTATAAGCTTCTACAAGCAAAATCCTAAAGCCAAGAAAAAAAAAGTATAATCCGTAGGCTACACGTATGCTTATTTCTTGTTCTGTCCTTCATCTTTGTTATGAAGAATGATAGTGCAGCAGAAACTCTCTAGCACAATGAACTTCATATGTGAGCAAAGTATAAATTTAAATCATTGTATAAAATTGCAAACCCCTTATTTTAGGTTACCAATTGCCTACGTAAGTTTAGGTTAGCATACTCCACAGCAGATAGAAATCAAGTGAAGAAAATAACAAGCAGTAATAGGAGATGATAATCCTTTCTGTGGTTCATCACTGTATAGGGATTAGACATATTTGCCAGTGGGCTTCATTTGTGCTTGCTGATGCCAATACAGGGGTCACACGTTTTTTTACTCCAGGCTTAAAAAAGAAACATTCTATAGTGATTGCAAGCCCTGTGACTCTCTCTCCCACACATTGTCCATAAGCACAGGAATTGCTTCATGGTAGTTTCCTGAAGAAAATTGCCCCAAAGAGGACAGAAATATTGAAAGGGCAAGGCCTGTTGCTGTTGTGGCCTGCCAAACCCTAGCCCATCATTCTGGAAACTGAAAAGGCATGTGGAAAAGGTAGTCTCTGTGAAACACAAATAGCCAAAATTTTTCAAATACTGTGGAATGCCAATTGTGGCAATGGCCTTAAAGTTATAGAAAAAAATGTCATAATCTCTCACTAACACATACATACATTTCTGAGTCACACACACAGAGCACAAAGCCTGCAACTGCTCCTTTTTTAACTGAAAAACTGATATGAGAATAAACAAAATTTCAAAGTGCATCTTCAGTACCTGCGCAGCCCTTCAGGGATACAGACAGGAAGCGGTCTCCAGTTTCCTTGCCATGTCTGTGTTCCTCTGTACATGAGCTGCACAACCACTTATTGCAGCTTGTACAGAGACTGTGAGCAGGTCTCTTCTCTTTACACGTGGAGCAGCTCTAAAAACAAAAAGTGCAATTACCTACAAGGATAACAAATTAGTCATACAAACTATCTTTAATAGATAGTTATCTTTAATACACTATGATTCAGATTGGTAGTTATCTTTAATAGACTATGATTCAGACTGGTAAGCTTAATATTTTTCTTCCTCAGATTAATGCAATTCAAGTGATTTTAAGAGTCTGGTTATCGTTGTAAAACAGAACAGAATAAAATTAAGATTTGAAGATCTTAAATCAAATTGGTTGTCTTTCTGTGCTCTAGCACAATCAAGCATAATTATGACATGATGCAAGAATTATTCAGAAAAACTCTGGGGTCCATGTTACATGTGGAGTCAGAAGAAATAATCATAATGGCTTGTTTCTTGTGAACTGAAAAAGTCATGGAACTATGAAGTACGATTTGTCTGATTTCAGTTAAAGAGGGTTAGGTTAAAAGTTACCTTTGACAATGAGTAGTGTGCTTTGCAATCCCTTCCTGTTAGTGTTGTACTACTTACTGATAGCTTTAACACATCAAATAAGTGTACATCTTACTTTATATGTATATATATATGTGCATATATATTTAGATAGATATAGATATTTTCTACCTCAGAAAAGATAGCCTAGGTTGCCAAGTAAATATGTGAAGTGTTAGTCAAACATAACCGATCAAAAAGTTTTTTAATCTAACTACCATTTCCTTTCTAATCACAACATCATGCAGAAGCATTTTACCATATCACTTCAGTGTCATTCATTAATTTCTGTCGGTTACTAATTATTTATTGAAAAATAAAAAAAAAAATCTATAAGCTAGAATCCACTTCTGCTTTCATGTATATGAACATAAATCAGACATATTTCAGCAGACCTCTAAATCTACATTGTTTTATTTAAAATTAGACCTTACTCTATTTGCTTTAGCATTGTATGAACCACTCTGATACAGTGTAACTGTCAGAAAAATAGGTAAAATATGCTAACGGTAAGGCAATTTAGAAAACAATACGGAGACCCTCACATACTATTAATGAAAAAGTTCCTGTTCTCTAAAGAGCTGACCAGAATGAGCTCAACTTATATATTGATATCACATATGGTGAACTGGAAACATAAGACATGGGAACATGAGAAGAGCTAGAAACCTCAATTAACTATCATCTCTACTGATTCAACAATTTAGGAAATGCCCTTTTTTATACAGGCCATGCTGTCTGGAAGTGTCGCTAAAGGGGAAATTAATAAAGCAACATGTAAATGAAGTGGGTAGTTTGATCTTTGGTATCCAGAATGAACTCAAGAGTTATTTCAAGATAGCTATAGTGATATTTCTCTTAAAAAGGATTTGCACTAGGCATAAAATACCTTGTCTGAAAAACCCTAATATTAATGGGTTTGACCTACCACAAGCACAAATAGGTACTAGTGGGCAGAGTGAACATAGTGATGTAATTTTACCATCAAAGTATAAAAGCTTTGCCACCACTTTATCAAACTCAAAAATTTCCTACAAAGTTACGATATATCTACTGTACTTATGCATAGCTCCTGAACATTGCTACTACTCAGGGCTACTCAAGCAACCAATAGTAGATGGCAGAATTACTTCCTATGGTGTCCTTTCTGTTGGGCATCAGCTGATCTTCAATTCAGTTCAGTTATGATTGCATCCCAGCTATTCTGATGGGAAACACAAAGAGAAGGATATAGCAGCATGCGCTCAGCGCATAAGCCCTGATGCAAGCCCTGGTGAAATTAATAGAAGAATTTCTCTTTGTGGTGTCTCAGGAAAAGAAAGCCTAAAGGAAGAACAATCACAGTTCTTTGCTGGTCATCTTGGTTTTAAATCACGGCTTTAACATTAAGTGGAACATCTATATTCACCTAAATTCTGAGACACACATGAGTCATGTTCTGATTCACTTCAGTACAAGAGGAAAAAATTTTGTTCTGCTGAAATTAATTTAAATTTTACTATTCCCTTCAGTGGGGCTGGAATTTCACAACAGGTCTCTTATCAACTCATTGTTCAGGAGTTGCTAAGTATTCCCAATCTGTTTCAAAGAGATGGGGCAATTCTTGACAATAAGACAAGAAGATAAATTTTTAAATGTGTTTGATTGTCTAGGCAGGGAAGTATTTGTGTAAGCCATTCTGCTATTTTAGCCATTTGCTTATCAACAATGTTTTCCAAAATATACATGTAATAATTTAGGCCAAAAAGCCTAATATAACTTATGTAACAAAAATGCAAGGGTATTTATTCTGGGAAGCAAGGCTTGTTATATAAAAAGAAGTGTCTAATTTAAAATGTACTCATGAAGAGCCAGCTTAGGTCAAAAGTTGAGGGATGCTCTGCCTTCTCTGCAATAACCAAAACCGCTTAATCACAGGTTTACCTGTAACTGTTCAGCCGTCAGTCTGACTAGAACTTACATTGACACTGTAATGTGTTAACATTACTTTTAAGTTGCAGAGCACAGAGTGTTCCCAGAGTTATATTATTTATGATGTGGAAATGGGATTTTGGGCAAGAGATTCTGAACTGCATATTTTTGAAACTCCTGCTACTGGTATATAGCACATTCTATCATTTATGCTTTACTATCTCACACACTGAGAAACATCTTGCTTCCAAACACTTTGTTACAAGCCTTGACAGATTCCCATTTGAACATATTAGGTAAATTAAGAAAATTATGGTAATTCAGCTGTGTCTCAGTTGGATGAGTTGGTGCTTCTCCTTTTGATATCACTGATAGTGAAACTATAGCTTTAGTTTGGCAGGGTGAGGGTGGTGGTGAAAAGATGGTAAGCAAGCTTCACTGATACATGACTTGACTGTTAATAAAAAGGAAGCCAAGAACTATGAGGAAGGTTCATGAGTGCCTCTAGGGTATTCCTGTGCTCCAGCGAGAAATCTGCTTTACTGAACTGCTCTTAGGGCTCCTAAGGGATTACAGAAAAGAAAAAACTTCCTTTAAAAAAGGTTTGAAAAAAAATAATCTAGTGCTTTTGAAGACATTAGATATTCTCATTTGATTTCCTTTCTACACAGATTTTCATTGAAAGGTAAATTATGTGAGTCACAGTAATTAAGAAATCCCACTGTAAGTGCATTCTAAACATTCAGCAATATCTTATGAATTTTCTTCTTCTTTTTGAAGAGTGCATGTGAATAGATGTCTTCCTATTTTGAAGTTATGTTGCCCTCTTCAAGCACTTTACACCTGAAGATGTCAACACACTTTGCTTGCATTAATTTTTTAATTTCCCCAGAACACTCCATGGATTAGGTTTCATGTTCTTTTCTTTTTAACAATTGAGAAAAAGCAACAAAGAAATGACTCACAGGGAAGAAATACATCCCTTCTATATTTTTTTTAGTGATGTCACTGGGAAAGTCACTTACAGAACCCAAAGCGGTCTCAAGCCTTCTGCATGGGACAGAACTGACCTACAAATTGTTGCTGCCCCTGCAGGAGTTAAGAGTGGAAAGACATATCTTCTGTCCTACATTATGGAAAAAGTGGTCCCCTCCACCTAAGGGCCCTGAAACTGAATATCCAATGTGGCTATCCAGTTTACTTAGGAATCAAAAGTGCAAAAGAGACAGACTGAGGTCCAGGAGCTGGTTCAGAAGGTGAAGCCCAGTATCCCTGCTTCTTTGTTACTCTTCCCTTGCTTTGGATCACACTTTGAATAAAGCAGTCAGCAGATTACAGAATAGTTTTGGCAAGTTTTCACCTGTTCTAACTCCCAGCTACAGGTAATACTACCACATTCCAAAAACAATATTATTCATGCAAATAATAGAATACTGTTAGAAGAAACACACGCCTTTCTCTGTCCATCCTTGCAACCCAAAGTAGTAACAAACAAAAACCTGTGAGAATAGTCCTGCCTGTTAACTGGGTATTTAACAGAAGTGAAATCCATCTATGTACAGTGTCAATACAAGGCCAAAGTAGTAATCCTATGCCTTCCAATGATATTTTGCATCCTTTCCCCAATGGGAAACTAAATATGATGTGGCCTTTTTTTATCATCAAAACAGATAATCAGAAAATTATAATTGCCCACAGGATCTAATGGGTAATCTTGGTGTAACCATTCAGCCAATAGTCTGCTTCCGTTTACTTTGTGTTGAGAGCAGAAATGGGACAGCGAGGAATCCAAGAGATTCAGTACCTTCCTAACATATTGTCACAGATCCAGTCCTACACCACTAGTATCAATGTTTTTTAATTGACTCTATTTTAAGTATATAGAGTCAAACTCATTCTTCAAATAGAGTTAAAAAAGTACTATGAAGGCAGTATGTCCATCTCTAGGAGTGAAGTAATTGCAGTGCTGCATAAGCAAACTGTAAGAGTCTGTTGTTAAATATGAAGTTTTCTCTGTTTTAAAACAGTGTTCATCTGGTAGTTTTTCAACACATCTCCGACTTAGTGGTTTTCACTTACCTTTGCCATAGCTGAATTACCAGTGGGAAAGTCCTTGAGAAAGAAATTTTCAACTACATCCCTTGCAAAGCAGGTCTGTTTGCACACAGGGCAGGAAAGGATACCTGAATTTAAAAGAACAAAACAAAAAAAACAAAAAAAAAAACCAAACCAAAACAAAACAAACAAAAAACACCACAAATAAAACAATGCACACCAGACACATGAACCAGGAAATTATATAAACCATACTTCAGTATCGCTGGCTTTTCTACATCACATGGACACACTTAGTTTCAGGAAACTAAGGTATTCTTCAAGCTGTAAGTTACTTGCGGCTACATCTAGTTCAATACATACACAAGAAAAACAAAGTAACAAAATCCCTAGAAATACGCTACAGTTCAGTTGACTTATTTCAGTATTTATCAATGATATATGCATGTCCAAATTCCCATAATTTCATCAGGATTTACAGCTTTGATAAAAAAAAAAAAAAAATAGAGCTGCACTTTAAACTCTATTCCCTTGTCAAGGATCTACTTGTGCTTTCTGATACTTGCTACAGTCCTTCTAGACCAGCTTTACATTACCAGAGGTATATCAAAGCATAAAACACACATTGCCTAATACTAGTTTTACAGTGCAGCATGCTATCCAAGTGAAGTGAAAGAGGAGTAACACGCTGCTAGCAGAAGCAAGAAGTCGGAATAAAGGTAAAGGATAAAAAAAGTTTCGTAAGTGAAAGTCAGAGTTGCAAACCAGCTATTACAACAAATCCACATGTGGCAAAACATGATCAGCCCTAAAGCAAAGCAAAGCAAAGCAAAACGAGCAGCGTGAGCAGCAAAACCTGGCTTCACCTTCATTAGCTACTGAGCACACCTGGGACGAATCTTAGTGTTTGCCTGGGCTGAGAACTAACACTTCAAGAAGGTGTCCATAGCCGTATACCTGCATTTTTGCACCTCTGCTACTTCATTCCTAGACTTCTTGGGCTAGGACTTACATTTTTCTAGAAGGCCTAGTGCCTTTTTTTTTTTTTTTTTTTTGAAAAGGAGTGTGCATGTTTCTGACATTTCTGTAAACTACTGTAGATGCGAATCCAGTCCTTTAGAGATGGTGGTAGTGTGTCAGTCTATTTTTACCTTATCTTATCAAGTCTTTTTTTAATCTAAGTTTTTCCATTCTGTTGAGAACAGAATTTCAGTGCTGTGCTCACCTTGCCAAATGATCTGTTTATGATAACCAACAGCAGTATTTTCCATAACTAAATGATGCAAACTCACTTAAAGCAAGATTTTAAAAGCAAGATCAATGACAACTTTCTACGGGACTGACAACATTTAATGTGCCCTATTCCTTAGCTAAAATTATTTTATAATAAGGAGACTGGCCTGTAGATTAATTAAATCTTAAGAAAGAAACCTATTACTTTTTGCATTAGACAGTTATCAGAGACTCTCATGTTTTCCAGGTGCGTAGTATTACCTGCCCTTGGGACATGGCTCCTGCAGTCCCTGGCCAGCTGCACAGTTCTAACCTTGAATGTCTCCCATTTTCAGAACTGGCCTACTGTTATTTTAACAGCAGCACTTTACATTGACAGAGACACACAGACCCTAAACCCTACGTTACCACTTCTGACAGAAGCGCTATGCAGTCAGATGTCTGAATACATTTAGTTTCATTCATAAATGTTCTGAAGAATCTTTGAGTTCTGTTATATCTCCTTTGAAGAGGACATCTTACTAAGAACTGCTTCCACAAGCTTTAGGTCTTTTTTAGCCCAAATCTTGTTACAAAACCAGAAGTATATTGTTTACTGTTTTCTGAGGTTGCATTTACAACAGAATTGTGATTTGGGGGCCCAAGTGGTCTACCTCGCACTTGTTTAACTGTGCATTTCATACAACACCGAGTGTTCATGTAGACATGAGAAGGAACAGGCGGTATCCACAGGTGCCTGTGCTACCCAGCTGCAAGTCACCCCAGGGAAAAGGGCAACACAAGCTGTTGCCAACACCTTGCTCATCTTCTGGGCATGTAACTTGAGTCTGGTTTAAGTGTGTTCTGGTGACAGAGGCTACAGAGGCTAAAAATTCATCTGCTAAGGATGCCTGTGATGGCAGAAAGCTGTAGAAGTCTTTTAGACTCTTCCTCTACTTTGCATCCTTAATATAAGAAGCACAGCTGAAAAGGTATCTTATTTACCTGCAATATTTTTAGCTAATCAACTTCATATTTTACACCCTAGGACAACAGAATGCTTTTATGTTAGTCACACTGGAACCTCTCCATGCTTTCCCAAATTATGGTTGTGTGTGTCTTTTAGATATCAGTTAACAGCTCAGCTCTCAGAGAAGTGTAAAAACATCAAGAGAGCTGCAGTACCCAAGACAAGATGTGTTATAAAGACAGTGCCCTCCTACTCCTTGTAAAAGGTGCATACTACAAACACCAGTGAATTGTAGTGCTAATTCCTAGTTTTCAAGATCCCCTGTGAGCACCTTACAAAGCAACACAGTTATAACAGCAGCAGAAATAGAGAGACATACATTTTGATTGATAAGCTAGGAAGCAAAATACCTACTTTGCAAGCAGCTTCTCAAATAAGTCTCACAGGACATGCTCTAATTCTCAGTACAGTCGATAGGAAACCACCTACTGACTTTACAGGGAATCGCCTGTAGCCCTTTGAAACTTTGGACCACTTTCTTACTCCCGTAACAGCATTGCCCAAGCAGTGCCAGTTCTTGATCTGGCTAATACAGAGAGAAAGCCCCCATACTGAGACTATATAATATGCCACGAATTGACCAAAGGGGAAATTATCAACAGGTTACTTTCTGAAGTAAAGAAAAGCACGACTCTCACAGTTATTCCTTCATCTACATGCCGTATGGGTGAGCACACAGTCTTACACAAAATATTTCTGGGAACAGCTGCCTGCTGGGAAACAAAAGCAGTGCTCAGGACTTTGCCATAGCAAGGACAACTTCTGTCTACACACCACATAAGGTAAAAAAAGTTAGTATTGAAGTTACTATTTTATTACATTACAACACTATTCAGTTAGCGCAGAATGTTAAATCAAATTATACCAATTGAGTGACATTTAATGGAATGGTCATGGCCTCAGGCACATTCATGTGAACTTTAAATTCTGCTAATTTGTTACAAACCAGTGAAGAATAAAATAAATTGTATAAAGAATGCATTAATTTGACAATGGGTAAGACCATCTTTTTAATTGTTTTAAATGTATTTAAAGAAAACTTAAATAATTTTCACCCTAAGAAAACATACACCATACATGGGTTTCGGTTCTGCCCAAAAGCCTCCTTATATTTATTGAGAAATGCAGTGGTATTAAGAAATATGAAACAGTCATGATTTTTGAGGTAGATGACATTACTTCTGATTAATGCTAGGGGATATCTAAAAGAAGTGTCCTGGATGCCATGGGACAATTTTTTTCCTGAGTTTTAGATCCAAGTTATGCTGCTGAAATTAGTGTTGTTCCAGAAATACACATGGGGTGAGTCACACACACACAGGTCAGAACTTTCTGTTAGACTCACTACCACAGACCATCAAGTATAGCTTTCATTGTGTAAACTTCAAAGTGTGTCTTAAATATCCAAGTAACTGTGAATTATAACGATTTCAAATCTAAAACTCCCTCGAGATGAACATAAGACATGTATAGCCCCCAGCTTAATAAAAAAATCAGAACAAAGAGCATAACTGTTAACAGGAAAAATAACGGGGACACCATTGCAATACTGTATCAGAAGTAGTCCCCTACTCATAGGAGGACTAATCAGTAAGCACCTTCTCTCCTGTCCTAATACTGAATTACATATTTAAGACTTTATTAAAAGCACAGGAGACGGACATGCATCTTGCTAAAAGAGGGATTCCCTGAATGTGGTAGCTTCAGAGATCATACTTGTTCAGCTAATTGGGCTTCTTATTTGATTCCTTTTCCATTTAATAAAAACCTGTGCTCCCTTGAAATGCCCAACCTGTTTCAATATAAATTCCCAAAAGAGTCTAATGATATCTTGGCATAATAAATACACTACAGAATGGTTTGTGAAGCAATTACCCTGAAATTAAGCAAACCTTACATACATATTTATAAATAGCCACAAGCAGCAGCTACTTCAACAATACAAAGCGAGCACACTACGCTGTACTCGTGCTCAGAGTGCAAATCACCAGTACAGTACGATTTCCTAGAAAACCCTTACCTGTCCTCTGGATAAACAGCCACTTAGAAAGCTACACACAGAGTCACTTGTGTCAGGGAGCGGGCGGTTATGAAGCAAAACTGCACACACAGCACGCTCCCCAGAATCAGGCTTTGCCGTACTGCAGGCTGAAGTTGCTACACCTTTCACAGACTATCTGGGGCTGCTCTCCCTTCTTCAGCCAGAAACGCTGACAAATCAGCAGGGCAGAAGGGTGTACAGGGCCATTACAAGGTGCATATTTTTTTTCCTCTTGCCTTCTTTCTTGCCCTTGCCTCTTGGATTCACTCAGGCCTCTGTTAGCTTGTCCTGGTTGTATTTTTCTTGAAGTGGTGGAATAAAAATCCCATAGTGAGAATGAATAGCAGCACCCTACTTCCCTTCTTGCCTTTGTCTTCTCTCAGTCCTCAAAGTAACCTGGAGCAAGTGTGCAGAAGGAAAGAGAAGAGCTTTTCCAGGTAGCAGCAGGTCTTACAATGCCATTCACTCCCACGGTACATTTTGCAGACCGTTCCCTAAATATTTTTCTTGCCTTCCTACCTTACCACTGACTCTAAACAACATTGTTAATTTGTTTTAAGAACCTGTACTTTGCAGACAGCTCATTTAAATATATCATTATTACAGCACTGTGGGTGAAGGGAAGAGTAGTCAGAAGCCCTAGAGACTCACTGTTTGTATGTGTGAGAATGATGCAATTTCTGGATCTAAATAGCAATTCAACATGGAATTACAGGATTCAAACAACAGTTTACATATTAAGAGATCAGGAGCCAAATTCAGATATGGTGCAATTGTGATGCCCAAATAAAGTCCATTATTGTTATCAAAACCTCTAGAAGTAGCAAAAAGCTAAGAGAGCTGTT